GCTATAGAATCTTAGACAAATTACTTAAATCTTTGCTAGCTCAGTTTCTTCTTTAAAATGAGGACAATAACTTCAATCTAAGATTCTGGAAAGATTAAATATGAATCTATAAGTGTTTTGTTGTTTTGTTTTGTTTTGTTTTTTTTAAAGATTTTATTTATTCATGAGAGACAGAGAGAGAGGCAGAGGCAGAGGGAGAAGCAGGCTCCCCGCGGAGCAGGGAGCCCGATGCGGGACTCGATCCCAGGACCCTGGGATCATGACCTGAGCCGAAGGCAGATCATGACTGAGTCACCCAGGCGTCCCTGAATCTATAAGTGTTTAATAAATGGTAGTTATTAGTATTAACACAGCTACATCAGACCAGCTGTCTCTAATCCTTCTGCATGACTTTATCTGTTGGAAGTGTATCCAAAAGTTTGTGGTTCCTGTATGTTTGAAAAGAAAACCTTCACTTACCCTATAATCAATGAAGAGAATTGTTAAAAGCATTTCCAATTCTGAAGCTGCTTCTTCCACCTGATGGTTTTCTCTTCGTTTTTGTTGATTCGGTGGCTTCACCATCCAAGCGAACTGATAAGCAGCTAAACCTTTGGCATGGTTTTTAATTCCTAGCCTGCACTGACCTCCAGCCAACGTTTTTTATTTACTCTTTTAATTTTTCTTACTTATTTGTTCGTTTATTTTTTAAATTTAAGTAGGTTCCACACACGCAGCGTGGAGCCCAGTGCAGGGCTTGAACTCACGACCCTGAGATCCAGACCTGAGCTGAGATCGAGTTGATGCTTAACCGACTGAGCCCCCCCCCCCGGACACCCCAGCCAACTTTTTTACTCTAGGGAAGAGCTCTACAAAAATATGGTGACTTGTTTCTGAAAGAAAGTTTTCTTGAAACAGTCATAGCCATTCGTTTATATATTGTCTTTGGTTGCTTTCTCAGTACAACAGCAAAGTTGAGTAGTTGTAACAGAAAATGTTTACTGTTTTTTAAGAAGAAGTATGCTGAGCTCTGAACTGAGACAAGTACCTGTTGGTTTGAGGGAGCCACAGTCAGAACAAAGAAAAGATGTAGAATGCCAAAGAAATTTATCCACATTGTTTTTGCCTGTTCCTGACTGAATGCCCAATTAGGTGTCGGTCAGAAATATTTTTGACTGGTTGGCTCACATTGTGAACTCGGGAAGAAGATAATCCAGTGGATCATGTTAGCAACCCATTCTGCTTAAAACACCCAAATATTTAGGTAATGAGGTTGTGAGTGATAGTGTTATTTTTAATTTCGTAAGTGTAGTTTAAAACTTTATTGGGAGGGGCACCTGGGTGGCTCAGTCGTTAAGCATCTGCCTTCGGCTCAGGTCATGATCCCCAGGGTTCTGGGATCGAGTCCCACATAGGGCTCCCTGCTCGGTGGGAAGCCTGCTTCTCCCTCTGCCACTCCCCCCGCTTGTGTTCCCTCTCTCGCTGTTGGATAAATAAAAAAAAAATCTTTAAAAAAAAAAAAACTTTATTAGGGGTACCTGGCTAGCTCCGTTTGAAGAGCATACGACTCTTGATCTCAGGGTAGTGAATTTGAGCCCCACATTGGGTATAGAGATTACTGAAAAAAATAAAACTGTTCATTAGCTAGTGAAGTACTACAAGTTCTCACTTGTTTTCATGATAGTATTTCATTGAAGCTTTATGGTAGAATTTCTCAGGTATAAAAATCTAGGAACATAATACATTTTTTAGCAATTTACTTGAAAATTTATTAGGACCGTCAGCATAGGACTGTTGTGAAATACTAGTTTTTAGACTTTGTACGTAATTTCTCCTTACAGGGGATATGAAAGGTGAGGTCTATCCATTTGGCATAGTTGGGATGGCCAACAAAGGGGATTGCCTGCAGAAAGGGGAGAGTGTCAAGTTCCAGTTATGTGTCTTGGGCCAAAATGCACAGACTATGGCCTACAACATCACACCCCTGCGTAGGGCCACAGTGGAGTGTGTGAAGGATCAGGTAAGTGGTAGTATCTCTGGATCTGAACTTGATCCTTTTATGAGTTGGTAAACAAGTGTTAACCAAAACCTTGAAATTTTTTCAGCCAAGGAAGAACCATCAATATTCACCTTGGTTTTTATTTCTGCTCCACCCCTTTTTCACTGATTTGAGGTAGCTTGTAAAAATATGAAGAAAACCACATGAAGAAAATGGTGATACGAGCAAAAAGAAAGTTAAGAGTATTACTGATAACTAACATTACATGACAGGGAAAATAAGTTTGGAGTGAGATTTTTCAGAATAGAAAGACTGTAAGATTTTGTGTACTTTAGCTCAGAGCTGCTTTTGCAGGCCACACAAAGAAAGCAAGCATGTGTGAAAGTGTTCATAAAATACATTTAGGGCAAACAAAACTGTTCCTCATATTGAGATCTCAGTATGATTTTTTGCTTAATTCAAAAGCTCCATATACTATATGAAGACACAAAGCGACCTTTGTTTCAGTCAGGCTATGATAGATTGAATAGCAGTGATTCCAAAGATAGATTTCTTCCCTGACAAGTTTTTTGGACCCATATGCTTTTACTTTCTAGCACAGGCAGCTAAACTGGAGCATCAGCATTAATACCATGTTTTATAAATCAGCTTCTAGTTAGGGTCAGGCATTGTGCTTCATTTAGAGTGAGGTACTTTTCCCCTTTGTAATGTGTCCTTTTTTTTTTTTTCCCCCTTCCCTCTTCCCCCAGTTTGGCTTCATTAATTATGAAGTAGGAGATAGCAAGAAGCTCTTTTTCCATGTGAAAGAAGTTCAAGATGGCATTGAGCTACAGGCTGGAGATGAGGTGGAATTCTCAGTGATTCTTAATCAGCGCACTGGCAAGTGCAGCGCTTGTAATGTTTGGCGAGTCTGGTGAGTTTGTTGTTGTTGGGCTGGTAAACTCCGTGGACTGTCTTTAAACTTTCATAAACTCTGGTTTATCACACTTCTTCACTTTTTCATCACTGCTTTTTTTAATCCTGCCACTTTCTGGTTATTTCTTGATCCTTCCTGTGTCTTTTTTTACCTCGAGTCTTTTCATTGTCTAAATTTTAAAAAGTCTTTTCAGTCTGGCCCCATGAAATATTAATTGGGTACTTTCTATGTATTAGAACTTAACTATAATAAGATTATGTAGTCCTTGTTCTTAAAGGATTCTGTTTAGCTTTTTCTTCCATTAAGCCATTTATATGCTGCTTAAAATTCTAATTTATAGTTTAGCAATACTGTCTCTGCTTTTTTAAAGGTTTTAAATCCGTAACATTACCATGAAAGGAGCTGGGAGTCTCTTGAAATATTTCTTCATATTTAACTTTTCTAAGGTTTTTCACATCCAGTACCTCATTTTATGTGTCTGTGGAACTGGTTTTTCTAGTTGCAGACCAGTCCAGGGATGACCCTCACCCAAATGATTCTTCCAGTTCCTCCATAGTAATAAACCTTGAGTTGGGAATAAAACATAAACTTGTCTGTCCTGTCTTGCTAGCTAGCTGGCTAGATGAGGCAAGAGTCCCCTCATTAAAACTGAGTCATTTGGGTAGTTAGAAAACCTACTCCTCTGCAGGTACTTGCTTTCTTCCCACCAAGAGTTGTTTCTTCTCACCTCTTGACTTCATTACAGCGAGGGCCCCAAGGCTGTTGCAGCTCCACGACCTGATAGGTTGGTCAATCGCTTGAAGAACATCACCCTGGATGATGCCAGTGCTCCTCGCCTAATGGTTCTTCGTCAACCAAGGGGACCAGATAACTCAATGGTATGAGAGCATACAAGGTTTTGGGGTGGGTAGGGACAGCTGACAGACCAGTATGCTACTCAGGGTCCTATTTCGGCATAGCTCAGAGCTTAATGAAGCAGGCAACTTCAGGATTCTCTTTCAACATTCAGTAGGCTTATAGTTAGTTAAAACTCCTTACACATTGGTTCAGCCCCTAACAATAATGGTTGCTCACAGTAAGAAGCACATTTCTTGGTCTTCCTGATCTTTTGGTAGATTTTAGGTAGTAGATCAGGAGGGCTTACTATGAATTTCCTCCTCTGGGAAAGAAATACGGTGGTGGTTACAATGATTGAAAGTAATGCCTTTATAGTAATTAACTGCAGTTTTACTTCTTTTCAGGGATTTGGTGCAGAAAGAAAGATCCGTCAAGCTGGTGTCCTTGACTAACCACATCCACAAAGCACATCATTAATCCACTATGATCAAGTTGGGGGGATTCTGGTGAAGGGTTCTGAATATCTCCCTCTTCATCCCTCCCAAAATCTGGAATACTTATTCTCTTGAGCTATTACACCAGTTTTAACACCTTCCTCGTGTTATGTTTAAAAAAATAAATAAATTTAAGAAAACCATTTTAAAATTATGCACAGTTGCAGCCTGGAAAACTTAAGGTGGCGCCTTATAGTATCAATTTTAGGAGCTTTATTTGGTGCATTTAACGCAACTGGTAATTGCAAACTCCACTTCGCCTGTGTAAGTGAAAAATATAGACTGTTATCTTGTTGGCTCTATGAAATTCTGCACTTGGTATTTAGCATATACTCTACCTTCATTACTATCTGGCAAGATGTTCTGCCTTAGCACTCAGTTGCGTTCTTTTCCTTTTCTTTCCTGTTCATTATGCTTTAATCCTGAGGACCATATGAAGGTAGAATATATTTAAAATTACAAAAATTATAAAAATTTGTATAGGCAAACCATTTCCTTAAGTTGATGGCCAAATGTTAAAATGTTATTTTTCATATCATTTATAATCTTGTCACAGTCCACTTAACGAAGTTTGGTTAGATTTCAGTGAAAATTATCTTCCAGAGTAGTTTCTTTTTTCCTGGGATTGGGGAGGGGGGTAATTTTACTACAATTAGTATGTATGGTGCAGAATTTCATGCAAATGAGGTGTGCCAGCAGTGTGGTAATTTAATCGTATTTAAAGAAAAACAAAACAAAAAAAGACGAATGCACAAACTTGCTGCTGCTTAGATAACTGCAGCTTCTAGGACCCAGTTTCTTTTACTGATTTAAAAACAAAACAAAACAAACAAAAAAAATAAAAAAGTTGTGCCTGAAATGAATCTTGTTTTTTTTATAAGTAGCCGCCTGGTTCCTGTGTCCTGTGAAATACAGGCACTTGACCCTTGGTGTAGCTTCTATTCAACTTTATATCACGGGAACGGATTGGTCTGATTTCTTGGCCCTCATCTTGAATTGGCCACATCCAGGGTCCCTGGCCAGTGGACTTCATGAAGGCTTTGTCTAAGATGACAAGGGCAGCTCAGGGGATGTGGGGGAGGGCGCTTTTATCTTCCCCGTTGTCGTTTGAGGTTTTGATCTTCTCTGGGTAAAGAGGCCGTTTATCTTTGTAAACACAAAACATTTTTGCTTTCTCCAGTTTTCTGTTAATGGCGAAAGAATGGAAGCGAATAAAGTTTTACTGATTTTTGAGACTCTAGCACCTAGCGCTTTCATTTTTGAAACGTCCCGTGTGGGAGGGGCGGGTCTGGGTGCGGCCCGCCGCGTGACTCCTGGGTCGGGGGCCCACGTGGCCAGGGCGGGGACTCGGGCGCCCGGGGCGCCGACTGATTACGTAGCGGGCGGGGCCGGAAGTGCCGCTCCCTAGTGGGGGCTGTTCATGGCGGTTCCGGGGTCTCCAACGTTTTTCCCAGTTGTGGTCCTAAATCCTTCGGAAGCGGAGGCAGCGAAGCTTGAGGTAAGGCTCTGTGGTGTGTAGCGTTCGTCTTTGGAGCATACAGGCGCCTCCTTGTTGTCAGGAATCGAACGGAGTCTGCAGGCTGGAGACAAAGGCCGTTCGGCGGGGGTCCTTCGTTTTGAGCCCTACGGGGGAGATCTTTGGAGGCTGGCGGGGGTGTAAGATGAGGGTACGGCCCGGAGGCTGCCCCACCGGAGCTGAGGAGGACTTGAGGGAGGAGTAGGAAGAGGGGTTTCCTTTACCTTAGGCTGAGGGCGGGGCCCACGGACTGTTGAAAAATAGAGCAGGGTGGGTGGGGGTAGCCAGGCGACTAACCATAATTCTGAGGCCTGCAGTAACCTGCGAATGTTTCTGTACTCCTGAATCACTTTGAGAACCAAGTGGAGGGTCACGTGTATGAAACCGATACATTTCAAACTCAGGCTTTAGTTACTATTGATTATAGAAGGCTTTGAAGTACTGTAGTTGTGGCTCTCCCATTAAACCTAATTGCTGCTTTCCCACAGGTTCTTGCTGGTGTGAAATGACTGAGTACAAACTGGTGGTGGTTGGAGCAGGTGGTGTCGGGAAAAGCGCGTTGACAATCCAGCTAATCCAGAACCACTTTGTAGATGAGTATGATCCCACCATAGAGGTGAGGCCCAGTGGTAGTGCGCTGACCCTACCTCTGGCTTTTGGTCCACCCTTACACCTGTCCTTTAGCTGTTCTTTAGCTAAAGGAAGAATCAAGAGAGAAAAGTTATTTGGGGTACTGCGTTCAGTAACACAGTAACGAAGCTTTCCATGTTTGTGGAGAAGAGTTCATTTTTATTAGCTGCTGAAGTTTTTTTCTAAAAAACTGACAGTAGTTCAGTAAACTTTTGCATACTCACTGTTGAACTCCTATGACAGCTCTATTAAACACAGGTCATAGGAAGAGTGACTGAATAATAGGATGGAGATAAAGGATTCAAAGATCTAGGTGTTCTTCAATTTTAATTAGCTGGCTGAAGCAGCTGGGACTGGGCTGGAGTAGAATATGAGATTTTGAGTCACCGCCTAGATTTCTTTCACTCCCTGTTTGCTGTTTACTTAGTTATGTTGAGCAAATCACTTAAACTCTCTGAGCTTCATTTTCCTCATCTATTAAATTACCATAAACATGTCCTGCCTATCAACACAGGGATGTTGAAAAAAATCAGTATAAGTTTTTTTTGTGAGTTCATGTTATAAATTGGCTTGAATAATGGCATCTAAGATCCTTTAAATAAAAGGTTTTGTTTATTCAGTTTAGAAATGTCTGACTAGAGATTATTTTATTTTAATCCACACCCTGGTCTTCCTGGCCCCACCCCCAGCCACTGAGTGTTTAATGGAAGCTAACTAACATAGCCATTATTAAAAATTAGTCATTAGTCCTTGCTTAACAGCTTTAGTATTAATAGTTAGAACCTTTTAATATTTTTCTGAATTTTATTTACTGAAGGATAATGTACATACAGTAAAATACAAAAATGGTATATCTACAGCCCGGTCACTTAAAAATTTGTATATACTTATGTAACCACCACTCAGAAATATAGACCGTTTCCAGTGCCCCAGAGTGTTCGACCATGCCACTTTCCAGTCAGTAAACCCCACCCTGCCAGGAAATAACCACTTCTCTGACTTCTGTTACTGTAAATTAGTTTGACTAAAACCTATCTTTATAATTTTAATTGTACTCATTTCCTCGGAACATTCATAGACTTAATCATATTTCATGCTTCAAGTAAGTTTTGGCAATGCGAGTTCTATATTAATTTGAAAGTATATTACAGTCCCACAATGAAGTTGAGTTACAGAGGCACTGATCAATGAACTGGGAAACCAAGTCACATTCTGTTTCTGGAGCCAGATCTTTACCAAGTGTGATGGGTTATTTTCTTTGAACTGAATTCCCAAAACATAAATATTAAAATACAAGTAAAATTTTTGCCTTAGAGCCAAATTAAAAACTTTTAAAATATAAATATATGTGATTATGCATGTTTTTCCTCATGAGGAATTATAACTGTATACCTTGTTTGGGATATTTAGGAATTTGATTCAGGAATATTTCCCAAAGGTAAAATTTCACCATGATGAGAAAAATATATTTGTGTTATAATCTTGTCTGAAATAAAAATTATTTGTGTATTTAGTCATAAACACAAATGACACTGTATCCAGGGCCAGGTATAATTGGTGGAGGTATGTTTAGAACTTTAAATGTACAATAAACAAGTAAGAAAAGTCTAGTTCATACCTTAGTAAAATACACTATGAAACCTAATCTCTAGTCTAACTACAGTAGAGCTGTCTTTTGAATTACCGCATTTTTTCTATCTTTCCCAGGAACAGAGTGACCACATTTTCCTTTCTGCAGGCGTATAGGATTTGGGGCTTTTTTTCGTAGGGTGACATTAAGTACTTTCTGTTTGTGATTATATATGAGGAGTTTGAGGGACAAACCAGAGAGATGGAAATAAACTTAGGTAGGAGCTTATCTGACCTTGGCAATAGCATTGCATTCCCTATGGTTTCTAATAAAAATGAAATCTTCCTCTCTCCCTGCCATCCCCCACCCTCCGCACCCCCAGGATTCTTACCGAAAGCAGGTGGTTATAGACGGTGAAACCTGTCTGTTGGACATACTGGATACAGCTGGTCAAGAGGAGTACAGTGCCATGAGAGACCAATACATGAGGACAGGCGAAGGCTTCCTCTGTGTATTTGCCATCAATAATAGCAAATCATTTGCAGATATTAACCTCTACAGGTACTAGGAACATTATTTTTTCTGAAAGGATGATCTATAAGTGTATTCTGAAGCTTTGTGGGGGGATGAGGATACCACACTAGGGAAGATAGCGTTTTTAATTATGAGAAGAGTTGGTTTCACATTCTTTAACATTGAGGTTTGGGGTTATAACTGAAAGTTAATATTGGAATTTATTTTATATAATACACCATGGCTAGAACATGTGATGATACGTAAATGAAGTTTGCTAATGGGATGATTCAGAACCAGAGGTGGTGGTATGAGAGATCACACAGGAATTTCAGAGAGGAAAACATGTCTGAGAAAGAGTCATCAGTAAGTCATAGAAGAGAGAAGATGATAGGAAGAAACAAATGGGGAGTAGATAAAGAGGAAGGATGGTCTTTCTCAGTAGAACTATAAAGTTTCAAAGCTCAATCAAACCATAAAAAATTCTAGTACAACATCCTTGTTGTACGGAATCAGAAGTAGAGCTGCAGGAAGTGATTTTTTTAGGTTTTTGGAGTCATGGTTGTTACTAGGAGCAGATCCAGGACCAAAAACCCAGGACTCCTTTTTCTTAGCTCCATGTTCTTTGAGCAGAGTAATACAACAGGTTGAAACTTGGCTCCATCATCTGTTACCCATGGGACTTTGGGGCAAACTACCAAATGTCTGTGCCTCAGTTTCCTTATCAGTAATATGGAGAGAATAGTACCTACCAAAAGTTATTTTGAAAATTAAGTTAATAAACATGTTAATCACCCAGAAAAGTTCCTATCACGTAGTCAACGCTATGCAGATGTTCTTCCTACGGCCTGCAGTCCTGGATTGTGCTCCATCCATACGATGATGTCTGCTCGCAGAAACAAGCTAGTCCAAAACTGACTTCGGTGGGGTTTTTTTCCATCTAAACCTGCTCTACTTTCCATCTGCTCTCTGGAAATAATAGCAATATGTAATAAAATGTCCAACACTTGTCAAGCATCTGATATTTGTTGAATTTCCAGAAGTCGTTTTTCCTCTTAGGGTGTCTTGTCTTACATTATGCTTTAAAATTGGCCACTGCTTGGCACCTGGGTGGCTCAAATGGTTAAGCGTCTGCCTTGGGCTCAGGTCATAATCTCAGGGTCCTAGGATCGAGCCCCATGTCGGCTTCCCGCTCAGAGTGGAGTCTGCTTCTGCCTCTCCCCCTGCTTGTGTGCTCTCTCTCTCTCTCTCATAAATAAATAAAATCTTAAAAAAAAAATAGGCCACTGCCATTATAGCAAAGGTCAGTGCTGCAGACAGCCAGTGTGACACGGGTTCAGCACATGACTTCGTGTGTGATCTAGGGCTAGGGTCTGGAGTGGTGCTGTTGCCGTATGGTGGCCACAGCCTTGTGTGCTTATTTCAGTTAGTTAAAGTTAAATAAAACTGAAAAATCAGTTCCTTGACCACATAGCAACTGACTTCTCAAGTGTCCAGTAGCTACATATGACTAGCGGATATAGTTGGACAGCACAGATGGAGAACCTTTCCATCATCGTGAAAAGTTTTATTGGACAGTATTCGTCAAGAAAATCTAGAGCAATTGTTTCCAAACTGCTGTGTGCTGTGTCTTCTGTGTCTCTGAAGGGAGTGCTGTAAGTTGGGAGTTCCAGATCCTTCAGTCCCCTTTAGTAAGAGTAGGTCTGGTGTTTTCTGTTTTGTGTCTTGGACTTCCAGCTATGTTACTGTTGGAAGAAAATGTCTGGACACCACCCACCTAGAGAAGTGTCTGTCTTTCATTAAATACTGTCACTCTCAAGAAAACCTCAAAAAGTTATTTTGAGGCACTAAGCTTTACTTTTTATACTTCAGATCCTAGTCTAGAGTGTGATTTCAAGTTGCCAGTTAAATCTGGAGCCAAGCTCTTTAGTGAATCAAGGAGCCTAACGAGGGTATGTGTCAAAAGATAGAATTGCCATCCATTTCCACTGGAAGGTGAACCAGTACTTGGCTTCCCTGTGGCTGCTGCATCAAGTCTAAACCAGTCTACCTAGTATGTGTGGTCTTTTATATTTAGTGGGGGGATAAGTGAAACTCCATACTAGAAGCTAATAGGGCTAGATAAAATTCATTAGAACCTTTTTTATTCTAGCTGCTCATTCCTTCCTAAAGACCTACTCTTAGGTTATGATAACATACTCCTTTTTTTTTTTTTTTTTTAGGGAACAGATTAAGCGAGTAAAAGATTCAGATGATGTACCTATGGTGCTAGTAGGAAATAAGTGTGATTTGCCAACAAGGACAGTGGACACAAAACAAGCCCACGAACTGGCCAAGAGTTATGGGATTCCATTCATTGAAACCTCAGCCAAGACCAGACAGGTATAGCAGAGCTTTGAGCATCTGGCAAGGGTTTGTTTAATGCAGAGAAGTTTGACTGCAAGAAATAGGAGCCGCATTCTTTGTTGTTACGGATTTTCGATATTCTATTTTTTTAATCTTCAGTTTAAACCCAAAATGAGCTGATGAATATTCTGCTGTGGCACTTTACTCCCACCTTAACATGCTACTATTACTAAATATTACTAAAATGAGGACCCTTGATTAAAGATAAGTACAAACATTAGACCTTCCTCCATCAACACCAGCCAGTGTTTTGGGCTTTAGCTCTGCTGAATGGAATCTTTAGATCTGGTAGTTCTGTATGTCCCACGTTACCCATTTCTCTGTGCTTGAACGTTATTTTTGCAGAATATGCCATTTGTGTATCAGCCTGTTGATGTGATTCAGTAGGAATGCTAAGTTTGGTGTCCTCTTCCTAAATAACCCTATTTCATCAGCTTGTTGGAATTTTAAATCCACTAAAGAAGTACAAATGAGAGAGCTTACAACTTGGATTGTGTCTATTAAGCCATCCTTATCATGTTCTTTTATAGGGTGTCGAAGATGCCTTTTACACACTGGTAAGAGAAATACGTCAGTACCGAATGAAGAAACTCAACAGCAATGATGATGGAACTCAAGGTTGTATGGGGTTACCGTGTGTGGTGATGTAACAAGGTGAGCATGTGGTCTCCTGACATAATTATAAATTTTATTTTTTAGCATCAGGCAATTTGGAGGAGATTGCTGTTATTTTTTCTGTACAGTTATAAAATATTTTCCTTATGGCACCTTTTCTGAGGGTACTGAAGTCTAAAATGTTTTTAACGCATTTAAGTAGACTACACCTGGGTGGCTCAGTTGGTTAAGCATCTGCCTTCGGCTCAGGTCATAATCCCAGGGTCCTGGGATCAAGCCCCACATCAGGCTCCCTGCTTAACAGGGAGCCTGCTTCTCCCTCTCCCTCTGCATGCCGCTCCGCCTACTTGTGCATGTTCTCTCCCTCTCTCTTTCTGTCCCTGACAAATAAATAAATAAAAGCTTAAAAAAAATAATAAAGCATTTAAGTATTTTATAGACATTATTACACTTTCAATAATATTAGAAACTAGAAGGTATTATTGTGAAAACTACAAATACCGTACCATATTTTTGGCACTGATTAGGAGTTTGAAGAATCACTACATCAAAACTCATGATTATAATGACATGGTGTGTGTTCTTTTCTTATAGATACTTTTAAAGTTCTAGCATCAGAAAAGAGCCACTGTCAAGGTAGGACAAGTTTGGAAATGAATATGTTATCATTCGTGTTGATTTCTTGACCTTGTTTTTCTTACATTTTCTATATGCCACTTATACAAATTCTGTCTTTATTTTAGCTGCACTGACACCCTGGTCCTGACTTCCCTGGAGGAGAAGTATTCCTGTTGCTATCTTCAGTCTCACAAAGAAGCTCCTGCTACTTCCCCAACTCTCAGTAGATCAGTACAATATTCTCTATTTGAGAAGTTCTCTGAATAACTACCTCCTCACTTGGTTGTCTGACCAGAGAAATGAACCTCTTGTTACTCCCCACTGTTTTTCCACCCTGGGTTCTCCCCCAACACACACAAACAAACCTCTGCCATCCCAGGTTTTTCATCTGAAAAGTAATTCATGCTCTGAAACAGAGAACCAAACTTGTAGACATGAAATTCTGTAGGAAACAATGTCTTGAGCTCTAAAGTAGCAACTGCTGGTGACTTTTTTTTTTCCTTTTTATTGTTGAACTTGGAACTATGATGGTTTTTGGAGAAATGTCATAAATTACTGTTTTGCTGAGAATATAGTTAAGTTGCCATTTGGTTTGTTTATAGTATCATTGGCTATATTCTATAAATTGGCATCTCCTCTGCATTCATAAATTACACAAGTGAATACTGACTTTTGAGTCTATCCTAATGTTCTTGACTTTCACATAATTAAATCTAACTCGCAGCAAAGTGCCTTTTTTTTTAGGAGTGGTTTGTAGACTTGATTTATAATATTTCAGTGGAATAGATGTCTCAAAAATCATTATACATGGAAATGAATGTCTGAGATACATCTATGACCTGTCTACCTTTGAGGGAAAGACTTACCGATGTGATAGCAGATGCCATTTCTTACATGTATGAAGTTGGATTTCCAGAGACCTGATTTGGGTCTCTTCCAAGAGAAAGGTGAAACTGGAAACAATTATGAATAATTTCACTTAATTTTTACCTAATTTCTACTTTTTTGGGGGGGTGGGGCAGGGGGTAGGTTACCACTTACAAAGTGTATGCAATTTGTTTCTTCTAGCTTGCTGATAATGAACTTCCATTCATATTTAAATTTAGGGCATATCTGAAAGCTCTACATTTGCAGGTGTTTGAAATTGTAATAGTTGAATGTAGTTTTAATAGCTAAAATTAATGATTTTCAAGTCTCAGATGTATTAACAGACACATTTTCATTGTATATCATGGTATTTTAATGATGTATATAATTGCCCTCATTCCCCTTCTCACCCCACCCTCTCCCTCGTCCCACCACAATGGCGGCTTGCTTATTTCAGTTGAGTAAAGCATAGTGCTGACAGACCAGGGTCACAGTTTCAAAACTTGAGCAAGCCAGTTAGCATCACAGAGAGAGAAATTCTTCCACGTTTGCTCATTGCACCAGTAACTCCAGCTAGTAGTTTTGCCAGATGTATACTGTTAGTCCTGCAAGGAAGGAAGAGGTCAGTTAGCACAAATCCTTCACCATGACTGGAAAAACTTGCCATCTTGAGGAGGGTCAGCCTAGAGGTTTTTATAAATAAAAGTATATAGACTTTTTTTAGCCACGTGGAAACTCTGAATTAAACCCAATAATTTTTTCATTATTTTGAGAATTTTGAATTTTTTATTTTCATTCTTTTGAGAAATTTATTTTGATGCCTCATCAAAATTTTTAAAATTTTCTATATTGATAGTGTTCTTTGAAGGGTGCAAAACAGGATGTTGATGAATTAGTCTGTGCAAACCAGGTAATAAGCTGATGAGTTTGTTCAGAACAAGAAGTCGCCTTTCTGTTGAAATTGCTGTTTGAGAAGGGAATGGAAAATAGAATCAGTTGTTAGTTATGAGGGTTGGAGGTAGGGCTTTTCCATTTGCAGATAATTTCATGGTAATTCTAGTGAAAATTAGACTTGGATAACTTCTGATAAAAGACTAGCTCCAAAATGGCCACTTTCTTTTCTTGTCTTCTGATGTGTAGATACTCACTGAGGTCCTCCATCTTCTAAAATGAGTTTTCCTTTAAGTAAACTCCACATTGCCTTGAAATGAATTCCGAAGAGGGGAAGAAACATAGACTGTGCCCAGAGTGGAATAAACCCAGAAAGCTGTGTTCCTTTGCGTTAATTTTTTAGAGAGCTTTCACATACTGTCAACACCTGTAAACAAACTCTGCTGCTGTGTTTGTGCTCCTGTGGAACACTGCTCTGTAATTTTCTCGAGGCTAGATTGAGGCTTGTCACTTCCATCCTTGTCATTGTCTTCCACCTCCTCCTCCTCTGCTCTGTGTGAGTGACAGTAGGACTCTTTTTTTTTTAATATCAAATTTAGGAAAAAAGATACTCATTTTAGCCCTTATATGGCTGTACCTTTAGTTTTTTCAAGTATGTTCTAAGCACAGATGTATATCTAAATGGGGCCAGAATTCAGACTTGACAATGTTCTATTATTTTAATAGCTTCTTAAGAAGTTACATGTAGGTGTGAATTTTGGCACAATAGAGTGACAAACTTACAGTTAAATGCTGAATAACTTCAGTTGGTGTGAAATAAAGTGTGGTTTTTAGAATATGTTTGTAATTGCTGAAAACAATTCTAGTTTACCTCAAAATCTGAAAAGTCTCTTTCCCCCAGTCAAGTGCCTGGCCAGCTATTATGAATTACATACTACTTTATGTGTGTTTGTGTTTTAAAGGTTGCTCCTTCAAGAGTGTGAAAATGTTCTGTCTAAAGGCTACCATGCCTACCCTGTAAATGAAACTGTTAAGTGCTGTATTTGCTCCAGCAGCATACTCTAGAATGTTACTTGGTAATATAATATCGTACTTATTACAGTTTTCACTTTAGTGTAATAGGTAAAATTATTCTCAGTATGTATTTTAGTCGGCCCATGTTTAGTCTTTCATCATCCTTTAAACTGCTGTGAATTTTTTTTCTTGACTTGAAAGCAAGGATAGAGAAACACTTTAAAAGAGATATTTTGGTTTTTTCCCATTCCAGAATTTGTGAGCATAATCATATTTTGCTTTACATTTACCGTCATGAACTCTCAAGCTGGCAGCTACAACCAAGAACCAAAAAATGGTGCATTCTGCTTCTTGTAATTCATCTCTGCTAATAAATTATAAGAAGTGAAGATAATTAATTAGGGAAAATATTTTATTTAGGTGATTTCTGTAAGCAAGGGACTATAATTGTACATTATTTTTCATCTTTGCTGTTTCTTTAAGCAGTCTAATGTGCCACAAAATTATTTTTAACGTTTTTCCTGTAAGAATTTTTTTAAAAGTGTTCTCATTGTCAGACTAGGTGTAGATATGTTTCAAAATGTAACTGGTGATTCTTAAAGGCCCGAGAACTGACCTAAGAAGCAATTGTATGAATTCTACTCTGGAGGGAAGGGAGGATCTCAATGGAAATTGTATGACTTTTATATTTCTGTGCCATCAAATATAGGTGAAAATACCAATTGTGCAATTCTGCTGTTTAAACAGGAACTATTGGCCTCCTTGGCCCTAAATAAAAAGGGCTGATATTTTAAGTTGACTATTTTATTATAAATTAATCCATCCTCATTTTTTAAAATTTGGTTGAATGTTTTTCTTGTTAAATGTTTAAAAAATAAAAACTGGAAGTTCTTTGCTTAGTCATAAGTCTTTTTTCCACCGAAGTGCCTTTATTGAAAGTTAATATCAATTTTAGACTTTTGGATGTGACATTTGGACAATGTTTGGAAGATCCAAGTTCCTTATTTTATCCCAATATAAAATATGTCAAAGCCTGCCTTTAATCTATTACCTTGGGGGTGATTCCTAGCCATGACCCATAGCTACATGCCAAATTCTAACATATTAATATGAAGTGCTTGAAACTATCTTTGGAAATCTTTTGTCCTATTTTTGCATTACTGCACGGTCTACCAATATCGGTATCATTAGAAGAACATCAGTGTAGGAGCCAAAGAACATGGGTTCCAACTATAATTTTAGGGTGTATTGGTGTATCTCAAATTCCCAACCCTAATTAAGGAGATGTAGTTATTCAAAACAAAAGAACACAAAACAAAACAAACTTTACACCTGGGATTTTCCACCTAACACTGGCATACTGTGATTATACGGACCTTGGTTTATTTTACCAGACATCATTTTTACTTTGATTTTTCTTTCAGAAGAGGACAAGGAGAGATATCATTAGTATTTGGCTGAATTAAGCTTGAGGAAAACCAATGTAAATGGCAAATTACTGTTTCTAGATAGGACTATTAGGAAATACAAACATTTTAGATAATAAAATGTAAATGAAAAACAGAATTATGGGCTTTGTATATCTAAAACATTTCCCCCTTAAGTCAATCACCTGTGCCTACTGTCATTTATTTCCTGCTAATATTTGATCCCCTCGTAACAGAAAAAGGAAAGGAGGAAAGGATGTTTTCTGGCTTCTGCTGATGGCTGCTATTCTGTTTGGCAAAGTGAAGCTACAAAGAGACAAATGATGAAAAAGTAGCCTAGGAAGCTTGTTTATTTGGAATATGTGGAGCCCTCCCATGCATCTCTGTGCTGTTAAGATTTCTGTTCTTAGAACAAGCAATACTCAAGGTCGTTAAAAGGCCAACATAGTTAGATGAGTTATTTGATATCCATAAATACGGGTAAAGGGGCCAAGAGGCCATGCTAGTGATCATTTTGCAAAACTGCTAAAGAGACATTTCAGAGAGTGTCCAACTCCATGACTTGAGAGCACAGGATCAATGTCCAGTATCCAAGTGGGAAAATACGCTTTGTATTGCTTTAAAAATAACTCTTGGCAATGAAATGTGGTCAATAAAAGCAAACCGGAACTCTAGGAACATACGAAATACAGGAAACAAATATCTTTGCAGTGCCAAGAGGGGCAATAAAAGGTCAGATTCATGAACTGGAAATAAACTTCATGAATTGATCATTCTTATCTGGAGATTTTTTGTATTCATGATTTACTTCACACTTGCACCAAAATAGTTTTATTAACCTACTGCATGTTATTTTTCAACTTAAAAGAATGAACTTAGTCTCTTCTTAAAATAGTATAAATTATAACTCCAATATAAATATAGCGTACAGCCGATTTGTGGGAGTGTATAAAGAGGTAGTACTCACCCAGTGTTGGGAGTTAAAGTGATAGGAAATGTTTCTAAAGATAGAGGCAACTTTCAGCCGAGCTGCTACTGGGGGAGGACGGGGGAGGATGTGGTTGGAAGGGAGCCGTTGCCTCCTAGAGCCTTTAAGCGCAGGAGCCTGAAATACCCAGCTCAGGACAAGAAGTCTGGAATGGGTGCTGTGAAATGATACAGTTGGCACTGTTGACCCTTTCTGTAGGAGCTACAGATGTGTGTGGTACGTGTAAGATTTAAGTCCGAAAGAAAACGTGCACGTTATTTTATTTTTTTTTATTTATTTTTTTTAAAGATTTTATTTATTTGACAGAGACACAGTGAGAGAGGGAACACAAGCAGGGGGAGTGGGAGAGGGAGGAGCAGGCTTCCCGCCGAGCAGGGAACCCGACGACGTGGGGCTCGATCCCAGGACCCCGAGATCATGACCTGAGCCGAAGGCAGACACTTAACGACTGAGCCACCCAGGCGCCCTACGTGCACGTTATTTTAAAACATCTTAGTACAAATTGATTCCCCACATTTTGCAACCTAGACCCAACATCCCTGATTTTTTTTTTAAATCAATAGAAGGAAGTTTAAAGACCTCTTCACAGTTAGATCAAGGCCTCTCATAGATGTATGCTTGTTTTGCCTGTGAATTTGAGGAGTTTGACATTTTTTTTTTAAAGATTTTATTTATTTATTCATGAGAGA